ATTAAAAAAATTATTGATTAATTTTATAATTAGATTACGTGAACCCTAAATCTACTCAGTTTATTTTGAATTTATTGTTGCTTTCTACCTAGTAAACATTTAAGTAAATTAAAATTAATTATCCATTAAAAAATAAGATTTGAACAATAAATTTATCATAATTTTTCTAGAATGTACAATAAACGACTATACTTAAATCATTTTACTACAACTAATTAATAGTTGTTCACTTGATGTTATCATTTAAACAGAAGCAACCATTTCAATTTTAATTATACATAATGATGTGAATACATTTTATAAACGTTTGAGCAACTTATTGAAAAACTTTAGAAATTAAACAGGTCAAGTAAAAATATCCTCTCAATAAACAATATTAATAAATCATTATAAATTTCACAGGTTGAAATCATGAGTCAATTGAATCTAGACCACCATGGAAAATCGGGAAGCACTAGACGGCCATTTCGTCATAGTATGAGACTCCTCAGCATTGCGCATTCACGATCCCGCACCCCGTGGGATTCGGACCCAGGGCCTACTGGTTTCGAGCGCGAGCACCTAACCATTAGACAACTGAGTCGGCATCCAACGGTGCTAATGTCTAACTTCAACGAATCCACGGAGTTGCGCCACCGTAACCATCGTCTTCAGTGAGCTGATATCTCACAACAGACCTGATTGAACTCCACTGGTAAGGGCTTCTCACTAGAACTCCAGGAGTATCTCCTGAAGTCTAACTTAATATCTAACTTAATAGTAAACAATGAATGAAGGTAGATTTTACTGGTTATTCCTATCATGATAAGTTATGTTTCATACCTGGAATCATATCTGAAATACACAGAACACGAACTCATACATTTTATCAGATATAGAGACAAGCTGTGGTCTAGTGGTTAAGTACTTGCGCGCGCATTCAGTAGGCCCTGGGTCCGAATCCCACGGGGTGCGGGATCGTGGATGCGCACTGCTGAGGGGTCTCATGCTATGACGAAACGGCCGTCCAGTGCTTCCCGAATTTCCATGGTGGTCTAGCTTCAATTGACTCATGATTTCAACCTGTGAAATTTCTAAAAATTTCCACAAAAACCCATTCAGATAAATCATTATAAGTTGTTTCTTCTCTTAGTTATCTTGATCCCTATATATAGGTATGTTTATATTTATAGCTAAAAGGAATCTTTTATAGCCATTAAGTATGTATGTGTTTAACAAAACTTTAAATAGCGTCAAATGATAGTTGTTAACCAAACAATTTTACAACACTGAGAACACTCTCAATTTTTAAATTATAGGAACTTACCTGTTTGTTCTTAAAGTTTTACAAAAGTTTCATTTAATTCCGTAACAGTTTAAATGTACTAGTGATATGTCCCTATTTGTTTTGAATTGCAGTTAATTGGTTTATAAATGTTTATGCGCTAGCTAACAATAAACTAATATGGGCTAAAGTATGCTTTAAGGACGAGCTTAAAACAACCACGACGAATTACCAGACACTTTTTAGTCATCCAGAAAATAATTTTATAGATGAGTAGTTTATGAAAAAGAAAACAATAAAAGTACAAATTTAGAAAATCTATTAGTGTTTTCCACAAGTTACTCTGCCTATAGATTGAAAAAACAATGATATACTACTAGGTTATTCTTGTTAGGGTAAAACGTTAGGATTTTTTGAGTGCCATCTATATGCCTGTTATATTTGAACTAGAAAAACAGAATTAGGAATTGGGTACATTTTGCACCAGACTTTTTACTCCACGAATACAAATAATAATTTAAAGTGTTTTGAACAGTATACAAAAGTAAATTTATTGCTTGCGACACATATTTTTGCATTACGCGTTCTTGATTTTGATTGCCTCATTTCTAAAATATATTTATACCAACAATAATTTCCTATTGCAACACATAAGAAAGAAAAATCAATAAAATATATAGCATTTAACACTATTTCCTCAGTCATTGAATGTTCTCTGATATTCATACTATGATAATTCAAAGTATTCAAATCAATGGACTAATCAAGGATTACGAAAAATTACAATTTAACGCAGGTAGAAATATATGAACACAGATGACCGTTTTATATTTGGAATTCGTAATCAGATGGAAGTCATATACAAATAGATCATTAGCTCCTACAATTACCATACATACTCCCATCAAATATATTATTATACTCAACAAAACACTCTACAGTAATAAGTAAAGATATTCGCTTACAGTAACGTTGCATTACAAAATTGCAAGTAACTGTGTTATTGCTAAAACATTAGATAAATATTAATCTGTCTTATAATGTGTATTGTAGTGAATTTTCGTAATTATCAGTATATACATTGCCAAAATTCCATACAAACATTGCGTTCTTGCTACAATATCAACTGAAATCAGTACAGATATTATATTTGATCATTTTCAATAGTTTGTTTTGTCTGAAGACCTTCGTCTTATTATCTAACTAGTCGCTTTCAAATACAATTCAATTTACTAAGACCTTTTGATCAGTATCAATATTTTTACAAAACTAAAGAGAGTACAAAAACCAGAATGTAACCAGAACCTTAAATTTGTCATATTTCAAATTGCAAACGAATTAAATATATATTGCAATGTAGTCAGTGTGTAGTTGCATTCAGAAACCATAATGAAAGCATTTGTATCAGGTACATTTGAAAACAGGTTGGTCTTAACTTTTATCCAAACAATTTGCATTTAAATTTCATCACTGTGAACTAGTTCGATTTCCGTACTTTGAAAAATCCATTTATATCGAATATTTAAATTCTAATTTAAATATCTTCCATGGTACACTCGCTCATAATCCAATGACACCATCAAATACTTGTTGGTCTGTCTAAAAAAAGATTAAAAGAAATTTTATACTACAGCACAGCAGAATAGTAAAATTCTTTTGCTGACTGATTTAACGACAAAATTCAATGAATAAAAACTCTGATTAATGATTTCTTATTTACAATGATTCTTGATCATCAATAACTAGAGTAAAATAAACTTAAAGCTATCAAGAGATTTTTTTATTTCAGACAAAAATATACACCCCAATATTACAACTTTAAATTACCTGCTGATGACTTGATGAATAATTATACATAAATCTTGAGTGAGATCAAAGTAATAAAGTTAACATTTGATAAGAGTTGTCAAATATCACTATGCATTCAAGTATACAAGAAGTCTAGTTATATAAATCAATTAATGTCCATAAATCTAACTAGGCTTCTTCAATTTGATGTCACTTACAAATAATTAAATTCGGTATTCGTATAAATACTCTGAAAACGAATATTGTTTTTATTCACATAAACATATCACAGTCATGTTTAACATTATTTTATATCAACCATGAAAATACATTTCGTACAATAAATTATCTCGTTAATGTTTTATTTAAAAAAACTTTTTTTCCACTTCGAATGAGCACAACACTTTTAATTGTTAATAAATTAACAAGAAAACACTTTTCATTGATATCATGAATGGATCAATGTTAGACCACCATTGTAAACCTATAATCACTGGATGACTGTTTCGTCTTAGTATGGGACTTCTAAGCAGTACACATTGACGATAATGTACCAAAAAGACTAGAACCCAAGACCTTCCGTCTTGCGCTAATGCTTAATCTCCAGACTACTGAACTGGCATCTAACGGTGTTAATATCTAATACCAACCAGTCCACTATACTGCGCCAATGTCTACCATTGTCTTCGGTGAGTAACAGCCTCACAACAGATATATTTGATTTACATCAATCGCGGCTTTCACTAGAACTCCAGGAAATTCATTTTGAAACTGGTCATTAAAGGTTAAGCAATCACGTGCAAGATTGAAGATTCTGGGTTCGAGTAGAGCGTGTGGGATCGTGGATGCGCACTTCTGCGGATTCCCAAACTGATTACCAAAAGAGTTTTATAAAATTAATGAATTTTTAAGAAATTCTCACAACTGACTAATACATAATATAATGTTTCTTTTTTTTCAGGATGAAAATTATCATTGTGTTAGTCTACTAAATGATCTATAACGATAACTCATGTGATCGAAACTAAATAAAGTAACACTGGCAACAGTTACAATTTTTGTTATTGTTGCTTGATTTAAGTGGTATTTCAGTATCTTATATGTCATTCATTGATGTAAGTAGATTACTCCATTTATTTGAACACTAACATGAATATTTTGTTTTTAGACTTTTGAATACTTAAGTAAGATTCAGTTTAAACCTACATTTCATAAACATTGTTTCTGAAGCGAAAGGTACTGGGTTCGAGTCACGGAGTGAGCATCAACTCTGGGATGCGGGTACATTCACCTGACGAGTCCCAAATAGGACAAAAACGAGAGTCCCGGATTCTACTGCTAGCCACTATCCATCTTTGCTTAAAAAGCTCGTGACTTAAGATTATATCGAGTCAATTCGCACAGGATGTACATATGCCAACATGAGACTGATCGAATGGAGTCCTAAATAACAATGGAAAGATACAGGTAAAATAACACTAAATGAATTTAACATTGTTTCTAGTTATAAATTTTGTAATTATCATTAATTCATTTCAGTTATCTGTTACTAATTAATCAGTAAACTTAAAATTAGACCTCACAGATTGAGAAATTTACTATATTTATCACTTCAAAAAAACAAATACAACCAAACTTACATTACCGACATTATATCATCCGTAAATATTGTTTTAAAATTTGGAAATGCCTGACTAAATTAACTGTATAATAACATATAACATTAGATTTAGTAATGCATTTATGAATCGAAGTTATACATAAACATAATACATTTAACCAATGGTCAAAACTAAACTGAAAGAAAGTTTGAGAGAAAGAGAGAGAACTATGTAATTGTAGTTTGTTTAAAGTAAGTAATAAACTGTTGTATAAAATATATTACATGTAAAATTAATACGATTAAATGTTTAAGAATTGTTTAAAGTTATCTAATCACAAGATATCTTCAACCAGTTACTGGTGGAATGAAATTTCCAATTATCTTAGTTGATGATGATGATGATGATGATGATGATGATGATGATGATGATGATGATGATGATGATGATGATGATGATGATGATGATGATGATGATGATGATGATGATGATGATGATGATGATGATGATGATGATGATGATGATGATGATGATGATGATGATGATGATGATGATGATGATGATGATGATGATGATGATGATGATGATGATGATGATGATGATGATGATGATGATGATGATGATGATGATGATGATGATGATGATGATGATGATGATGATGATGAATAAGAATAGACTTAATTGAAGTTGATGTGTGAAATATGTTTTATGTCCACAATTTGAGAAAACTTTCATAAAATGTACAAGTGAGTGATTTCTTGGTGATATACATTTAAAGCTTAACGAAAAATGAATACTTCGTAGTATTAAGCTATACGAAACAGGTCATAAGAAAATTTAAAACATGTAGCTTTAAACATCTGTATATATGTAAAAATAATGTACATCTGAAGAAATCATACTTATGAATACGATGAAAGGGATCAGTAGCATTGTTAGATTAACTACTTTATTGTCAAATTACAATACTAAACTGCATAAGTCTGTTCTTAGTTAGATGGGACGTCACATCAAAAACGATAAGCTAGTTAACCATTGAAGATTATGCAGTATTAGTAAAATCTCAGAGAATGAATTTGAAGTAAATCAAACGTTTCACCCGGTAATCTCGTCTAAGCTTTTTCAAGGAAATGTCAGATGGCCAGGTGAAACGGATTTACTTCAAATTCATTCTCTGTGATTTTACAAATACATTCTTCGTCCTTAATGTCATACATGAACTCGGTGCTAAATTACTGTGAAATTGGATATCTTAGTGTTAATTCATTCAGCAATGCGGATTTATAATAACATGAAGGGTCAGACTCAGGAATTTCAGATCAAGGCATGATTATGATATCTTTAACAACAAATTTCTAATCTAATGGTTGACATGTTCAGTTAGAGTCAATTTGGGATAAAATGTGATCTTAATGAAAACAGCTATCTAACAACTCATATACAGAGATAGAATTGTCCTCAGTGTATACTGCTAACACTGATCCATTAGTCTTCTGACAAAGTAATATATATTTGTTTATTTAGGCAAACAAATCCTTAATTTATCAATAACGACTTGATTATATGTAAAATGTGACTCTAAGTAGTATGTGTTCTGCAATCAACCTAGCAATGTGATAAATGATTTCAAACTGAAATTTTAATGTAAGAAACATTGGAATGATGATATTGTGAGTTCATATGATGATCGAAGACAACAATATTCAGTTCAGAAAATCTAAAATACATCCACTACAATAATGAGATAATTATTTATCCAAAACTAAAACAATCTAATGTTACTTCATGAGGAATTTAACAACCATCGCTTACCATGTTTATTAATATTCGGAGCAATCACTAAATCTATGGAGTATTTAATTCACTTCTAATCAGTTTTATGATCCATTATTCGTTTAAAGATTCCCATAATATTAAAAGACTAATATTTGAACGAACAATATTCTTTTCAACGTATTCTCTTTAGGTTCTACAATTATATATCCAAATTAATAATCTGAAAAATGGCTAGGTTAAGGGCAAAGTACATGGTTTAAAGTATGTGAATTTAGGATTGTTAAATAAAAGGCAATAAAATTGTTAACGTTGATATGACTCAGATAGAATGTTAACTTGAATCATCTTATATGTTAAGTGAAAATTTAAGATCAATGATCAGAATAAATATCGGACAGATAGGATGAGAGAAATAATAGTGCAATTACAATTCGGTCAAATGTTTAGTGGAAGGTTATATTGTGTGAAAAATTAGTAAGACGTAATAAGGAGGGATAAGTGCGAAGTGAATGAATCATGAATAAGGGAGATTAATAATGATATTTAAACAATAAAACGAATAATAATAATGATAATACAAAGATATGTGAATAAAGATAACAGAGACTATTATGATTGACTACGAAAGTTCGTAGTTAAATTAGGTCATTCAATAGCTAAGATTACCATTGATTAATTGACCTTGATGTTAGTCATGAGAAGAGGAGTGGTTGAAGATATTTCTTCTGTACGCATAGCTCCGGTTTCTTCATCCGGATGGTTACTGCTTCAGCCGTTTGAAGGACTTTAAGTGTGATAAGTTTTGGTAAAAAGTTATTGACCTTATAAATAATTGAAAAAGATTGGTTTATACTGGCACGATGACCAGCTTGTACTAAATGGGCCAATATTGAGCTGTTAACTTTCTTCATCGAACCTTTGTTTAGCCACGCTGGAAGGTGTTCACGATCACGAAAATGTAAATTCCTAGAACTTCGACCAATACAAATCGCTCCACAGGAGCAGTCGAACTGATAAATACAAAATGAGATGGTCATCCATTATTGCTTATTTCGAACAACAAGAAAAAAATGTCATTAATATCATTGCTAACATCTAACTTGATAATAATAGATGAATTGAGTAATGAATGATTCATTTTAAGTGGTAGTGAATGGGAAATATACCCACTTGTTTATAACTTCTTATCAAAAAATTGTATCCTGTTTATAAGCAAAAGATGACAGTAATTTTTATATAAAGGTATATGTTACGAATAACGTCAAAAGAATGAATAAACTGTTAATATTTTGCCGAAATCATTTAATGAATTAACTTTATAATGTATCAATAAAGATAGAGTGTGAGTTAAAATTTTGTGTTCAACTTAGGTTATAACTGAATATTTTACTAATAGTAAACAGTTCCCAGGAAATAGAACTCTTGATAGTGAAACTCTGGAAGATGTAGAATCCTTCACACACCTGGGAATCATCATCGATGAACAAGGAGGATCCGATGCAGACGTAAAGGCGAGGATTGGCAAAGCAAGGACCGCATTCCTAAAGTTGAAGAACATATAGAACTCTAAACAACTCTAAACTAATATCAAAGTGAGAATCTTCAATACGAACGTCAAAACAGTCACTTCTACTGTTTGGAGCTGAAACTTGGAGAACTACAACAACCACAATCAAGAAGGTACAAGTACCTATAAATAGTTGTCTACGCAAGATACTCAACATCGATTGGCCGGATACCATCAGCAACAGCCTTCTGTGGGAGAGAACACACCGGCTTCCAGCTGAAAAAGAAATTAGGAAAAGACGATGGAAATGGATAGGACATACACTACGAAAATCATCAAGCTGCATCACGAGGCAATCCCTAACTTGGAATCCTGAAGGAAGGCGGAAAAGGGGAAGGCCAAAGAACACATTACGTTGGGAAATAGAAGCAGATATAAAAAGGATGAATAACAACCGGAAAGAACTTGAAAGGATTGCCCAGGACAGGGATGGATGAAAAAATGCTGGTGAGTGGCCTGTGCTCCTTCCCGAGGAGTAACAGTTCCACTGATTATATTTTCTTATAATTAATTCTTATTCAAATGCTATTCAAAAATGATTATCCACTACTGTAAGTGAATAAGAGACTGATATAACCTAGTTCGAATTGCAGTCAAAATAGGTAGCTTGTGGTATCATAACATATTACCAATTTACTCTCTGGATAGCGGAACCAGATGGTTTAAGATGCTTTTAAAAATCACAACTGATGATCGACTCGTCTTTTATATTTTTTTAAAGATTTTAGGCAGTATATTCTGAGTTTTTCATCATTACGGCTTTTAAATGATTTCTTTCGAAATTTTTTCAGTTTCTGATAGTTTTGTTGGGTGCTGACTATGACCTAATATAATTTTCTGTTTTGCTTTTTACTTAGTAACTGGTTACTATCATACTTTTACAGTTATAATTAAGTTATTTTTGTTTCCACGTTTTTTTTCATTTCCTCTTTATATCTGTGAACAAAGATATTTCATATGTCTAACCAATAAACATTTCTCATCTCATTATTCTTACATTTGACCATTATGTAATCATCTTGTAATACATCGAATATCCGAATGTTTAATGATGTATCCTCTTTCTACTTTTCCAATAGACTAATATATTTATCAAATCACTATAAATGTCATTATAAAGTTCAAAAGCATTTTCTTTCGCTGAATCGTCTTTAATCCCTCTTCAATAGCACAATAGGTTACTGTCATTATTGGACAGACAAGTAACCCAAATGTCGGTGAATTTGATTTTGTATATATACTTATTATCAGTAATTTTACTCTATATTTTAGAACTGTATAGTTTCCATATCATACACTTATTTTATTAAAACCTATCTTAACAATCCTATTACTGAAATTAACTGGGTCCGTAATTTAAAGCTAACTGATCCTGTGATCAAACAGTAAATGACTCATAATATTTCTAGATCTGTTCATTTTTATTGACCAGGTCTTCAAAAATTAAAGGCCTAATGATAAAGATAGATGATTCTGCAAAACATTCCGTATTTATACGGCGTATTCAGTCAAGGTAATCAACTTATTTATACAAAATCTCTTCAAGGCGATTCTGTATGACATTTCATGAGACGAACAGATTATTAATCTTGAATACAACAGATTGCCTCAAAAATCATCAGAGTTATATATCATTGCTTATTTTATATGTATTATTATGGTATTATTGTATACCGATAATAACATCAATCAACTTGAGGACCTGAACAATGTTCAGATATCACACATCCATGCATCAGAAAACTAGATAACACCTGTTTGTAAGCACTTTGGATTGGCTATCAATACGCTATTCATTGTATTAAATCTCATAGAAGTTGAAGTAAAGAATGAACAAATGATCAGTCAACCAATCGGTCTGAGGCACTGACAACTATTGTGCTTTGTCGAAACTTCTGCGATAAAAATATGTAAGCTGAATTTATACAACCATAAAGAAACACTTAAAAAATCTTGTCTTACCCTGGCGACCTCATTTCTGTAAGATTATTATGTAAATCTTTATTCATATATTTTCAGTAAAATTTAATCGAAATTCTAATATCTTAATTCTTGCTTCTGAGGTTTACTCAACTAGTTTATATTTACATAATCTGTATTCTGTTTCGAGAAGAAAAGTATTTTCTCTTTCCATACTGTCCTGGAATATTCATATACAGTAAATCTATAAATAAATGAACGCTTAGATAATCTTAATTGTTTCGTATTATGTTCTCTTGATGTTAATATATCTCCACATTTTAAAGCAGTTAATTATAGACGTTTCTGGTGTAAAGTATGTACACTTGTTTCGTTTTGATGAATAATACTATGGATTTAGATTGTCGGCTGTT